AACTGAGCAGCAGCTCAGCAGCGGCATAGGTGCATTTTTATAGTTTAAGCTCACGGCAACATCATCGTTTAGAATTCGAAATCAAAAATTAAATAAAAATTAAGTTGTTTCAAGAAATCAAAGGTGTTGACCTTTTCTTGTTAATTTGAAGTTCAATAGCTGCAAAAAAAGCTTTGCAGCTCAACACTATGTAAGCAATTCCACTAATGGGGTGTCATTTGAAAAGTCAGAGGTCCCCTGAGTGGCTATTAGGTAATATTAATGGTCATAACTCCTCTGAAGTAAAGAAATTTGTTTTTTTATTTTTGTTTTTAATTTACCATTGTTAAGCCACACTAAAGGTATTTTGTACTGAAGCACTATTGTGACTGCAGCATCGCTTACACCGTATACGACAGTGGTGGGCGCACACATAATTCAATAAATAATGGTTCGATAGTAGGTTTGACAGTTGTCTCTCTCGCACAGCTCCATTATCCGTGGCACCGTGTTGCTTCTTTGCAAATTAAAAAAATAGTAGTTTATGTACGTGTGAAATAGAAGTATACGTTTTTTGTGCAATATGTTTATTTCTATATTCAAATATATCACAATTAACCAATGAAATAAATTACAAAATTCACGTATAATTCTTAATACTTCGTTTGAAATGCCAATTTTCCTGCAAATAGATTAGAATTCGCAAAAGGAAATTCACTACTAATTGCCGACTTTGCGTACCTTTCTACTACCATTTTCGCAACAAGGGATTTCATTCTTCCTCTTTCTCTGTCTTTCGTAAGTGCAACCTTTTGTTTTGTAAGACAGTGTTAAACCCCGGCTGCCAATATTTATCTCATAATTATCCTTTTATTATTGAATCATGTGACGCGACAATAAGAGAGAAAAGAATAATAAGGAATTAAATAGTATAGTGCCCAATATTAAGACCGTAAATTTATAAATAAAAAAGGAAAATTTAAAATAATGTTACACAATTTAGAACAACATTGAAAGAATCACCGTTAGGAAAATACTGTGCTTCAATAACCTCAATTTTCTTATATAATTATATTATACATATAGTATAATTTTCAGTAGTCATTGAAATAAAAAAAAATAACATTGTAGAATAGCTAAAAATTGGAAAATGTGGTACAATATCAAAGTTGTGGTATAAAATTCATAAAGGGTATTTCCACGATGCCTGAATTGCGCAAATTCGTCATTATCCTCAATTTCAGCTGAAATCGCGATACAATTCTCAATTTGACCATATACAAAAATATCACGTGAAATTGCGTATGAATTTTCAGCGAAAATGAATTCGCGAATACAACTCTGAAAATTGCTTATTGTGATTTATTCATGAGCAAAACGAAGAAAAACCAAACGTCAATAACAAATAAACAAAAACAAACCGAGCCTACAGTCACAATAGGACTTCAATACTTTTACAATACTAATTGCCGATGTCAGTCGGTAGATGGCGCGCTATAGACGTTTCCTTTGTTCATGAATTATTAGGTCAAAAATGAATACAGAATTAAGTATGAATTCGTAAAGTGAGCACAACATTCTTTTTTTTTATACAATTACGATCTTTTAAAAGGCCTATCCGTTAATAAGTAGGTAATCTATTATTAATTTTTTACAGTAAAATATTTACTATTGAAGTAATAAATAAATACAATTTTTTTTCGAGTAATTCACATCAAATTAAATTTTTTTCATTCTAAATGTAGTGAATATACTTACATAAATTCAAATATAAAAGCCGAAAACCATATTGTGATCGTATTGGGATTCGATTTTGAAACCGCGCTTTACGCGCTACTACGCATACCGTAACTATAAACTGGTGAAAATTATATAAAGTCTTCACAACTAACAAAATCTTTCACGTGTGAGTCATAAAGTGCACGATGGCATTCAAAATCTAAATCTTTAACATCAAACGCGTTTTGTATTCCTCAGTTCTCATACCTTACTAATATTATAAATGTGAAAGTTTGTATGTTTGGATGTTTGGGAAATCATCACGCGGAAACGACTGAACGGATTTGCATGAAATTTGGTACGCAGATAGCTTATGGGGCAGATTGTTTAACAGGCTATTTTTTTAAGAGCTGCCGCCTGTTAAAAAAGTTTAATTTATTTAATATGCGGAAACGACTGAATGGATTTGCATGAAAATTTGCACACAGATAGCTTATGACCTAGATTGGAAAACAGGCTACTTTTCTTAAGAGTTCCCACCTGTTAAAAAAGTTGTATTAAATTAATACTCGGAAACGACTGAATGGACTTGCATGAAATTTTGCAAACAGATAGCTTATGACCTACAGTGGAAAATAGGCTAATTTTTTGGAAGAGTTGCCACCTATTAAACAAGTTTAATTAAATACGCGGAAAAGACTAAACGGATTTTCATGAAATTTTGCACACAGATAGCTTATGATCTAGGTTAGAAAGTAGGCTACTTTTTTAAGAGTTGCCACCTGTTACAAATGTTTAATTTAATTAATACGCGGAAATGAGTGAACTGATTTGCATGGAGGTTTTCACACGGATAGCTTATGAGCTAGGTTGAAAAATAGGCTACCTTTTTTAAGAGTTACCACTCTGAACGGATTTGCATGAAATTTTGCAAGCAGATAGCTTATGACCTACAGTGGAAAATAGGCAAATTTTTTGAAAGAGTTACCACCTGTTAAAAAAGTTTTAATTAAATTAATACGCGGAAACGACTGAACAGATTTGCATAGCATTTCGCACAGAGATAGCTTATGACCTATGTTGGAAAATAGGCTACTATTTTAAGAGTTATCACGTCTTAGGAAAGTTTAATTAAATTAATACGCGTAAATGACTGAACTGATTTGCATGAAAGTTTGCACACAGATAGCTTATGACATAGACTGGAAAATAGGCTACTTTTTAAAGAATTGCCACCTGTTTGAAAATGAAATTTTGCTCAAAGATGGTTTATGACCTGGACTGAAAAATAGGCGACTTCCTTAACCGGGTTTCCGATCAGAATGAAATTTAGTACACTTACTACGGATTTCGGAAGGATGGTCTTGGACTGAAAGTAAGTCCGATAACTCAAGCCCCTCCCATACAAATTGGAATTTTCATATTACATACATATCTCTGGAAGTATTTGTGGGAGAGATCTGAAACTTGGTATAGTGATATGTATGTGAAATCAATGTTGGCATTAATCGATTGATGTTTTAATTAGTTAGTTAATTCGACTAAATTCAATCTGATTACAGTTAATCATGATTAATTTTAATCCGACTAAACAGTTAATCGTAACCGCGATTAAAAAATTTATTTTTAATCATTAACTCTTAATTTGATCAAGTAGGTTTGGTGATTAATTAAGTTATGCTGGAGTTTCCCTGTGCACACAAAGCAAGTTAATCCGGTATGGCTAAGTCGGGTTTCCTCACCAATCTAAGCAATTTGGAGTGCATTTTCATTAAAATATATACCAACAAACGTTTTACAAACTAGGTTTGTAAAAGTTCCCAGTTTATGTATTACTAATAACAATAATTATATTTTTTTTATATTTTATAAGCGTAAAACACAAAATAATTACTATAACTGGTGTTTGGTTTCAAACTCGGACAAACTAGGCAAATTAATCAGATTTTATTTTTAATTGGATTAACGATAAATGTTTTAAATTAATTAAACGTAATCGCAGCCAGCGATTAACGATTAAAAAAATTTAACCATTAATCGTACAGTTGATTACGACTAATTAATTTGAATCGTTAAACGCGATTAACATTTTAATCGTTAATTTTTAATTGTTAAACAGATTAACATTATGCCAACACTGTGTGAAATTATATTCATACTCATCGTGAAAAATGGACGTTTTTGGAAAAGAGGCGTAGTACCTCCCATACTGACTGAAAGTTTCATATCCCATATCTCTTCAAATGTTTGGGGTAAAGTACGC